AAGGGTTGCGTAAGTCGCGGAATACTGCAGACTAATTGAAAAGGGGCAGCTTGCGCCCTGGGCCAGAGGTGTGGTGGGAGGGGGAAGTGTTATTTGGGGAATTTCAGCTCCTCCTAATTTCAGAGTTAGCTTTTTTTGGCACGGTACGTACTTACGTTGCCTTCTTTCTGGCTTCCCGCAGCCCACCCAGGACTTTGGGACGTTTTTCTCTGCAGTGATTGATGACAAGGTGAGCTCACCTCTCCCGTGTCTACTAGTGCAAGAAGGTAACACCACCAGGCTTTCATTAAGTGTGAGGTTAAATGGTTTTTTTTATTGCTTACGGCAAAGTACGAACAGCAGTGATTAGTTAGAGCTGATTAGCAGCCCTCTTTTGCTCCCTCCTGTAGTATTGCAAGCCTTAGCCACTGCCCCCCCCCATGAAAAGCAGTTTATTTTGCTGAGAAATCCTCTCAGACACAAGGTTCAGAGTGCCCAGGACTGTGCTTCCAGCTCCCACTCCTCCTTCCGCGCTGGAAGAGTGCTAAGAGCAGCGCAGGGATTGCCCAAACCTCCTTTTAGACCCCTGCAACCCACACTTTTTTTTTTATTATTTCCTTTTCTCAGTCTTTCGCACGGATAAAGAAGTGGATCGAGCACGCCAAGAAGTCGCCCAACCTCACCGTCCTGGCAGGAGGCGGCTGCGACGACAGCGTTGGGTACTTCATCGAGCCGTGCATTGTGGAGAGCAAAGACCCAGAGGATCCCATCATGAAAGAGGTGAGAGCGCGGAAGGGGCCGGAGGCGCCCGTCCCGAGGTGCCCACTGCGCGCGTAGAGGCGATTCGACCGGCGCCGCACGGTGACTGGTGCGGGGCTGTTCCTCTTCATCGCGGTTTTAGCCAAGCGGGTGCTGAAGCGCCCACCGCTTATGGTCTGGAGGCTGTCCCCACCCAGTTCTTTCTATTTTTTTCCATACAGGAAATTTTTGGCCCGGTGCTGACGGTGTACGTGTACCCCGAGAAGCGGTACCAGGAGGTGCTGGAGCTCATCGACACCACAACGCCCTACGGCCTCACGGGGGCACTCTTCGCCCGGGAGAAGTAGGTGCCAAAATCCGCGCTGCCCTGCCACACCCCGGGCGCAAAGCTGCTTTTTTCCCCCCTTCTGAGGTTGAGCGCCTGTCTCGCTTCTCTCCAGAACCCTGCGCTGCGTGGCGAGGAGGAAAAGAAAGCATTTCCCGCAAAGCTTACGCTGCTGTTAGCCTTCCTCCGCAGGAGGAGGGAAGGGGACGCATCTGAGGTGGTTTCTCAGCCCCAAAAATGCTTTTGGGGTGAGAAACCATCCCGAAGGTGACATTTAGAGCATCTGGGGGGATGTGCCCCCAACCCTCTTAAGCAGGAGGAGGCCTAAGAGCAGCGTAACCTCAAAGGGGGACTGTCCTTAAGTTCGAATCACCTTCATTTTATAACAACACAGCTTCGAGAAACAAACCAAAAGAAAACAAAATTGGGATAATTTAATCGAGTTCTAAGTACGCACGGCCCGTTTCAGTGAGCGTTAAAACAATGCGCAGTCCTGGCACTGTGTGCAAAGAAACGCAAACACCCTTTTTACACGATTTTAACTGCTGCAGAAGGGTAGAGAGCTCCACACAAGTTTTTTGCCATTGCGTCGCGGTCGCAGCCATTTTTTCTGTCCCTCCTTAGGAGAGTCATCGACGAAGCCAGGAACCTTCTGCGCAACGCGGCCGGCAATTTCTACATCAACGATAAGTCGACCGGCGCCGTTGTGGCTCAGCAACCCTTTGGTGGCTCCCGCATCTCAGGTGAGAACAAAAACTCCCGCCTGGAGACGGCGCTTACCTGCACGGCCGCACGCTGAGCCGTGTCCCGCTCCGGGCGAGCTCCCCGTCCTCCATCTCCTGGTCACCGGCGCTTTTCTTCCCTGCCGAAACAGGCACCAACGACAAACCAGGCGGCCCCCACTACATCCTGCGCTGGACGTCTCCCCAGGCCGTCAAAGAAACGCACGTGCCCCTGACGGACTGGCGCTACGCCTACATGCAGTGATGCCTTCGCCCCGGCCCCGCAGCGGTACTACTGATCCTCGACGCACAAGAGTGGCTTCGCAGCTACGACCTTAAAAAGCACTTAAATCTACTGATCTTTAACCCCACGAGCTTAGGTTTTATTTTTCAAGAGAAATTCTATTATTAAATTGTGAACTCAAAACAAAAAAAAAAGTCATCCTTGTGGTTTTCTTAGCTGTGCTTAGTTAATTAATTAAGGGGTGGCTGGAGGTGTGCTTGCAGAAGCATACCTGGACCCCGGGTTTCCTTTTCCTCCCATTTTGTCCATCCAGCGCGGTTCCCTCTCCACGGGGCTGAGCGTGTGGGAATTAAAGCGGGAGCCAGGCATTAGGAGGCTGGCCCTGTCACTTGTCCCTTCTCTGTCCCCAAGGCCCCCTTTGCCCCGGAAGACCGAGAGCTGCACCGCAAAAATTAAGGAAGAAATTAAGGAAGTTAAGAGCTGCCTGCACCAGCCTCCCCGGGAGGGGTGGGAAGCCGGGCTCATTTTAAACCGGAGATCAATGCAGTGGGAGCCCTGAGCCGCATTTTCTCCCTGTTTTGAGCAAGAGCGAAGCCGCCGACACCCCCAAAGCTTTTTGATGCGGGAAGAGAACTCGGCGGAAGGCGCGTCGTGCCAGGAGAGGCCGGCTGTGAGTGCGGTGCTGCTTAGAAACAAGTTTACGTGCCCTGCGAAGCCGAGGGCCGGGGTTACCTGCACGTTACCTGGCAAAGGGTCTCGGGGCGTGCTCGGGCGTCAGGCCGGCGGAGCAGCAGCACCCGACCCGGTCTCCTTGTTTCGTTACCGGGGTGAGGCCCGGCTACCGCCGGTCCACGCTGCTCCGATCCTTGCGTGTCTGCTGGAAGGAAGCGGAAAGATTTTAAGAGAAGGTGTTTCAATAACAGGAGCCTTCCTGCACGAGCTGGGTGCAGCATCCCTCACCACCCCAGAAGGCATTTCGGTGTTAGCAGGAGGTGCTGGGACAGCAGCAGGCGGTCTGCAATAACGAGGGCAAGATGCATTTCCCAGCCTGTGCTCGGACCAGGACCCCGCGCCCGTCCCGGGGAGCTGCTCTCTGGCACGGGCCGCTCTCCGAGGCTTTGCCAGTTGCCGTGTTACGAAGTTAAATTCATTCTGACCTGCGTGGTCCCCGGTTGCTGTCACCTGTGCAGGCTCTGCCTCACCGTCAGCCAGGTCTCACCGGCTGGGTCCTGCAATGCAAATAGGAAAAGGGATCTTAGCCACAAAGTCTTGCCTCCTTCCAGGAGCCTTTCTAATTTAGAAACATACACATCTGTAACACCTACAATTAATAACTGTTCAATTATCAGGATTTGCAGATAGAGTGGATAACCCCGTTAAGGCTGTTGTAATAAGCATTAAGTACTGATCCGGTCCGTGCCTGGGCTGGTATTTAGTATGCAGGTCATGAACAAGTTGCATTAATACCTGTGAATCCTGGTTTAACTGAGAAAATTTGCAAGCAAATAAATTACAAAAACCTTTGTGTTCTTTTATGAATTATTTCTTCGGCTGGTTGCCAAATAAAGAGCTAGATGGAGTGCGCATTCGGTACCTTTAGCGCATGCGACGTGGTAAGAAGAGATGGGAACGCCAAGGCGCTCCCCCAGCCCACTGCTCTGGCCTCTGAACAGGCTGGTGCTGGCTGTCCTGGCAGCGCTGTTCAGTTTTGGGACCCGTACTCGCCTTCATGCTGCCGCGCCTGCCGCCAACCAACCCTTGTGTCTATCGATTATGGCTTAAAAAAAGAAACCCCACTTCTCTGCTCTCATCTTTAGCAGATAAGCCAGGTGTCCTGGTTTCAGCTGGGATAGAGTTAATTTT